CGGCCTCCGGCCCTCGCGCCCCGGCTGAAACGGGCCATCGCTGGCCATCGCGGCGTGCCAGAAACCAGAAATCCCCCCTTTCCAATCATCCGCACCACTACGCTTCCAGGCGTGTTCCCGCTCGGCTTTCTTACAATGAATATTCCTATCACGTGCCTAGCTCAGTCCCCAAGGAAGAAGAAAAAAGCTTAAACGCTGAATTAAGACGGTCCTGGATCTCGTTTACTCGCCACAGGTTTGATTGCATTTCGGAACAGACCATCAAGCATCAGCCAGTCTCCAAAGCCATCGCTCTAAGTGTGGTTGGCCGCGTGCGTCCCGCAGAATCATTTAATTTTAGTACAGCAGCTTCCTGACACCACTGAATTTTTTTGCTTATCCCAGCAGATATAGTAATATAATCTACTATATCCTTGTGCCCAGCACATGCACACAAGGAAAGGTGAAAAAAAAACAATTTGCACTCACGTTTCTCTCCCTCTTTTTAATTCCAGGGTTTGTAAATTCATCATCAGTGAATTTATGGCCCCTTGGATGCCCAAGAGCCCTGGAAAGTGAAGCTCTGTGCTAGACAAGGCACAACCATTTTCTAACAGCGCTGCAAAATGCCCTAAAGGAACATACTCGACTCGGGGACTTCGTAGCATCCGAATCCAGCCCTACTGAGGTTTCCCTGATGGTTATTCCACACGGGGGGATTGAGTGCAGAGGCTCACAGACCCCTGCCAAGGCGCAGAAGCGGCCAGGGGCAGAAGGGGGAATTCAGCCAGAGCACGTTTAAGAGTAGTCAACAAAACTGCATGGACGCTGCAACCATCACACACAAACCCAGGCAGCATCAGTGGTGGCTTCCCCTGTGGACTCATCTCCCCTCTCCAATTCTGTATCCACCAGAGGAGACAGGAGGTGAGAAACCTCTGGGCACCTGAATGCAGGGGCTGAAGCTGGAGGTAGAGGTACTTGGTGCTTCTCAGAAGCTGTCTAACCTCTGTCTTCACATCTGATGCTCTCCAAAAAGCACTGGAGCCCAAGAGTCCTCCGTGTCTCTCTGAGATCTTGTTTGCTCCCAAGTGTCTAAAAATAAACACTTCTGGTAAGGAGAAGAGAAACCCCGCTGCCAAAATATGGGTGGGCTGCTTCTCCCACCCAGGTCCAGCCCTCTCACCAAGTTGCTGCTTTGGGAGCTGCGGACGGTGATGAATTTCAGCAGCAAAAGCCGACAGCACCGCAAAGCTGATGGGACTGCCGTGATCCTGTCGGGAACCAGCTGTGCCCGCAAACACCAAAATCACCATCCGGTACTTTCACATCGGCCACTTTGGGAACCCACTCGGCCAAGAGGGCTGCAGCGCTGGATTGCCGTGCCACCAAGGGGAGTTGGGACATTCGGGTCTGTTTAAGGCCATCAGGTAAGGAGAGATAATGGCTCTACAGTTACAAATGAATTGGAGACAATGATAAGCTGTTGGTGCTGCCCTCGTCAGCAAATAAAGACGTAAGATGAGCCAGGAAGCAGGGAGGAGCCTCTGGTTCCTGCATGAGGAACTGGAGATCCTGGCATGCTCCGCCACAGATTCTCACCTGACTTCTTAATTTAATTTCATTCATCGGCCTAACAGTCAGTCTTCCCACCTTCCTTAATTACAAGGTGAAATCATGGGAGAAGGACTTGTTTCTTATTGTTCCCAGAAGATCCCAGTGCTGGGGCTTTGCTCCCAGCCAGGGCTTTCAGCTCCCCCGACACGCTGTGCATCAATCATTCATAAGGAAGGATTTATGGCATGATAAGCTAAGGGGGGAGTCAGGATTTCGAAGTCAAGGGCACTCTCCTCTGCAGACTTCCTCCTCTGCCATTCAGCTTGCCCCTGCCTGACTTTATTTCAACCTTTTGTGTGCTTGAGCACAAGAATAACCAGCCGACGTGCCGGCTGCTATTAAAAGAATCTGGCAATTGGCCGTGACACTTACTTGCACGGGTGCGGATACACGTTCCCCAAAATAGTCGCTACTGCAGAGATTCCCTTCTCCCTCCCCTCTCCCTCGCTGGTTAATCCACTGGGTCTCTCTCTCCTCTGTGCTGTCTTTTCACATGAGCACTGATTTTTTCTGGGTTGCAGATGCCAGGGAGCGGGCAGGGACAGCCCCAATCCCAGCCGAGACCTCGAAGCACGGCTGTAACACACACAGCCATGCTATCAGCTTGAAACATCCTTGATTTGCAGCTAACTCCCTTCCCTACAAGGAGATTTTATCCCACGCCCTGCTGCTCCTAAGCCAAGAGAATTATGTTCTTCATTAATTTAAAGTCTGAGCCCTCTAGGTTTAAAAAGAGCCTTGTAGAAATACCAAGTATTTTCCGATCCCTTTATTCCTCATTGTGATAATAAATCTTGTTTCTTTTTCCATCAGAGGAAAAATAAACAGGGGAAAGTCTCCCAAGAGCCAAAGCCTTACTGGGGTCTTAAAAGCAAATAATTTTCTTCGCAAGGTAAAAGAAATATCACCGGCTTCTTCACAGTGTAAATAACCCGGGCGATAGAGCCAGAAGCGATGCTCCGGGGAGCAGCACGCCTATTCCCCCTTGGGCGCTGTGGCCCCATTACATTTTCATATCACCATTACCTTCTTGGTGGGGAGGGACTCCGGAGTGGAGACATTGGCACCGTGTTTATTTGTTCCTAGTGAGCAAGAGCCTGCTGGTTACAGACTCTTTTGACCCCTCGGTGTAGTTATCGCCTAAATATAGGTCCCCCAAGCTCCAAGGCTGTTGGCTAGGAAGGAGGACGGTGTCGGCCCCATCCTGGATCAGTATCCTGGTGATGGGGAGGTTGGCCCCAGCGCACCCAGCCCTCCTGTGGCGGCTGATCACCCTTTCTGCCCGCCCTCCGGGTATCTTCCCTCCAGCACAGTCCAGCAAAGAGCTGCCACGTCAGTCGAAGCAGAAATTAAATTTAAGCCAATTAAATTTCTAAATGAGATGCAGCACCGCAACGGGGCGATTTGCATCCTCTTCCTTTAGCTCCATGCTGCACGCAATCCATTTGCAGGGTTCAGTGCCACCAGGCCAGCACTGCGTAGGATGCGGCTGGGCATCTTCCACAGCTCGTGCTGAGGAGTCAAAGCAACGTCGGGTGAAATACAGCCCCGGACATCACCAGGGTGGGCACAGCGCATTCCTCGATATGCGCACTGGCTCTGGATTTCTTTTCCCAGGATAATACCTTGGAGCTCATTACAAGCAGTGACAATGGTGCCAGCACGTGCATCGTGACCCTACTTGTCCCAGTTGCTCTTGGGGAATTGCACGGTGTTCAAAATCTCTAAAAACAAGGCCACTTAGTTCATGTCACAGCGCTGCTTTACACAGATCTAAAGGTTGGTGTGTCCCCTCCTTTGTCTTGCTCCCCGGGCAGGGGCAGGATGCAGTGGTGGTGCCAAATTAAAAGCAGCATGCCCGTGACTTGGCTGTGGGCTACAGAATTGCTGCAATTTTAAGGTCTATGTTTAAAGACCTGCCCAAAGGGGCACCTCTGCTACCAGGGAAAAAGGATTCAGGACTCATGTCGTCTACAAGAGGCCGAGTCCTGCAGCATCACCTCTACACAGCTGCCAGCAGCAGCGGGCAGAGACGTTCAGCCCAAGGAAAGGAGGGGAACAAGAAAACTACTAGTATCCCAAACCCCTTCAGGTGCCACACATCTTCTCAGCACCTTGAGTTTAGCGAGATGTGGTTACGTGGTGTTCCTCTCCATCCGTACCTAGTAGCAACTATAGCAAAATTCCCTTGTTGAGGATGCAGCTGGCCAGAGTTGGGGTTTTCCCTCAAATTCCTCTAGGTAGGTGTGGGAAGGCAACCTGGAGTGTTTTCCAGGTAGGGGATTATTCATGGAAAAGGTGGAGAGTTGAACCTTCTGAGCAAGACATTTTGTAATTCTTCTAGTACTCGGAGCCTCCAAAATTGGGACATCCTCCGAAAGATGTAGCTCAGTGTATTTGGCAGTGTTTGAGCTCCATGGGCAGGATCCTACGGGCAGAGGCTGGCGTAGGAGTGGCATAACCTGGAGGCGAGTGGGACACTGGCTTCATTGCAGAGAAGGAGGGTTGAAGGAGGGTGAATGACACATCATTAGGGAAAAGAGAAAACTCATTATGGTTTTTTAAGCGGCCCAGGTAGAAAACCAAAGGGCTCAGAGCTGCGGTGTCTGGGCTTAAAATACAGTCATGGAGAAAATAAATGAGAATTCATTTTCCATTTGAGAAATAGGTATAATTAATTACAAGG